TTGTGCAGCATCTGGACATAACGAGCAGCATTGATGGTTTACCCAGGTTCCAGGAATTTGGTCAGAATAAACCCCTCTGCATCCCAGAAGACTGTGCCCATCACCTTCGCAGCTGATGGCACTGTCTTTGTCTTCTTTTTTGATAGAGAATGCAAATGGTGCCATTCCATACTCTGCTGTTTCATTTCAGGCTCAAAATGGTGAAACCTGCTTTCGTCACCTGTCACAATACAGAGCAAAAAATCATCGCCTTGTGTCGATATCTCTGCAGCAGTGCTGATGTGATGGCTTTTCACTGACCTTTGTGGTCTTCAGTCAGTAACCGCGGGACCTAATGAGCACAAACTTTGCTATAGCCCAAGCTTTCAATCATCTCCTGTACTGCACTGTGCCCTATTCCAAGTTTTGGGGCTGTTGTGTCCACAGTCACACACCTGTCATCTTGAATGATCTCATCCACTCTTTCCTTGTTGCGTTCAGTTGAGGCTGTTCGAGGACGACCACTCCGAGGCTCATCTTCAATGCTGGTGTTCCCATCTTTAAAATGTTTCACCCATCTTTGAACACTGCTCGAACCCATGCACACACTTCCATAAGCACGCTGAAGTCTCTGGTGAATTTCTGCAGCAAGGATTTCCTCTTTCACAATAAATTCGATGACAGCACGCTGGTGAAATGACATGTGGTTGTCGGCCATTTTGTTAGGAGTGATACTGGTCACGTGATGCAAGCTATTGACGTCACAAGACACTCAAGGTTAACACAACAGCTGGTTCCACCAACACCATACTCTCTTTCATCTGCTGTTCCCAGGTTGCATGCAATAAAAAGTTGCTAATGACTTTCGGTACAACCTACGTATAATGCACTATGTCTGGTTGTGATCCAGAAGGGGCTTGGCACCAAGACAAACTGATTCGCAGTAAACCACCAGTCATAAAGTAACTGACTCTGACTTGGAGAAGCCGGTAGGTGAAGTTAGGGACAGTTTGGGAACCCAGAGGAAGAGGAATGTCTGCCATTGGAAGCCGCTACCAAGCAACAGCTAGTGAAGACTGAGAAGACTTCATGTGTGCTGTAGTTACAGTGATCTTTGGAATGTGTAACTCATTGAGACTGTTGTAGTTATTTCTGTAAGTGTTTTCTCTAAATCTGATTACTAATCCTAACCTCATTTACGATCACCCACTCACATGAAAATGTTAAAATGCCCTGTAAGGTATCGTACAGCACTTAGATTCTCTTCAAAGCTGGAACTACCTTCTGATGAAAGTGGTCTTCTTCATCCAGATTTGAGTCCCACCCACAGTAGTCAGCTATTTCATTGCTGCCACACACAACACGTTATATTAATATTAACAGAAATAACACAGAATGCTCTCTCCTCTATGTTAACTTATTACAGATGCAGTTTTTAGGAGTTTCTTCATTGTAAGGCAGTGCAGAAGAACATTGTTTACGGATATAATTATGGAGGATTTGAGGTTCTCACAGTGGTGGCTATGAAGACTTTTTCTGTAAGGTTGCCTAAAAAATTTTTGATGTACCCTGATTCCATTACTGGTCTAAGATGGTCTAGTATATATTAGGAGCGTTTCCATAGAACATACTGCCTGATTCTTCAGAATAGCATTGTTTATTGTTCTGTATAAAAGAGTAATTTTTGTATAAAGTTCTAATTTTGATGTATAAGATGTATGGAGAGTAATTCTTTTTTGTATGTTTTCACTTTAATTTGTAGAGGTGTTTGGAAGAGCGGGAAGCGAAGCTGAAAGCTCTGACTACTAATATTCAGCAGTCAATAGCAAAGTCAACACCAGTCCGGCAAACAAAACTGGCTTATGTGGATAGTGTGGCAAAACCTCCTCGCAACGTTGCAAGGCAACAGGTAAAGTATCTAACTGAAGTTCTTCATAAGTTTGTTTGGACTTCTGAAGCTCCCTGTGTTGGCCATGTTAGAGGAGAGGAAGGGTTGTTAGTCTACCATTGCATACATCAGTGTTAAAAAATGACGGCAATGTGTCTTGGAGTGTAGGAAGAATGACAGAGACCAGAGCCTGAAGTTTAATATTCCAGTTTATCCTTGTTTATCACTTAGGAAGGAAGATGAAGTTTTGGTATCATAGCTTTTCGACCAGCAGATCAGTGTTTACAGAACTTTGTATCACATTCATGCCACTGGAAATTACTGGCCTCAGAAAGGAATGTCACAAGTTGTCATTCTGAAATTTTGCACATTAAATGGTATCTGTTGTGTAGTGATTCTGTGCAGAGTTTCAGCTTCTGTTACACACTGCAATCATACACAAAAGAAATAGGAAATGTATGCATAGCATTGCAACCCAAAGCATCAGAATTTAAAAAATCTTTCATTGTGTTAGAATTATTCCTAAATATTGTATTTCATAACAGTTTTATAGGGTCCTTCCCAATTGCTGTATGCAAGTGTATTCCTGTTTTTTTTTCTTAAAATTGCTATAACCTGTTGTTTGAGAAATAATTATTATTCTATTGTTTATTCATTATTTTTAGTCACTTTTTTCCGGTTGCTATGTAGTGCAACATTCTTTGCTATCTTGTCCTGTGCATGTAGATATATACATGTTGCTGCTCTCCTTTTTGCTCATTTTAGATTTTTTTTTATTTATAAGACAGATTTCTGTTTAGTTCGTCATGATTCTTGAAACTTCTTACCTCCATTGTCACAAGCCATATATCAAAATTCTTTGGAAAGGTTCAGTAATGATCATGTATCCTTGACCTTCGATTAAGTTTGTTTTCTTGAGTAATTACAAATTGTGTGTAGCCCTTTCCTCTCCTCACTGCTGAAAACATTTTGGTGTAGCTCCATGGTTTTTCATGTCCTATGGAAGAATTTGGTATTAGTGGCGTTGAACTTTTGGGTCCTGTTGGCAGGTTGAAGGAGTAAATCAGTTATTTATTTAGTAGGTACTTTGTTGAGATTTTGAAAGCAGTAAACATTTACATTTTGGTCTTCTCGGTAATCACACCATAAGTCTTGCAGGTGATTGCGTTTATTTTGGAGTAACCTACTGCCTCCATCTTCAGGGTACCATCTCAGGGGATTATATGGTCTCATAATCCAGAAGACTACAGTTTAAATGGTTACTTTGTTATACAAGAGAAGGTGACTGTTCACACGTCTGGTTACATGCAGAGAGAGAGTGTGTGAATTTCATTTCATGTCATTTCCAGGCAAAGTATGGGACTGCTCGCGTTGCAAAGCCTATTGCGGCACAGGCCAAGGCTGCTAGAGTGGCTGGCACAGGAGTCACTCCAGTTCCTGCTCCTACAAGACACATTCAGACAGGTAAGTGGGACCTGTTCTTGACACTGTGTTAACTATTGCAGCTGTGCAGCATGGAATGAAATGTGTGAGAATGGTCTTCATGCTGTATCAGCTGTAGGGGCCTGTGTAGAAGAAATCAGGTGTATAATTTTTAGTTTAGATATGTAAGTTTGTGTGTAAGTCAATGAACACAAGGAGAAGACCTCTGACTCTACTGGAGAGTGCCATAAGGAGAATGATTGCAGGCACATGGATACCTTGACAATGTTGTTCATGTTTTTGCAATGTTACAGGGTCTTCTGATAATATTTATTTATTTACATTAAAATTGGTGAAAATATTTGTGAAGCATTTTCAAGGATTGCTAGTTGTGTATTTCTTCCAAACCCCATCTTTTGCACTTTGGGACATATGGACTTTATAGGAATGCCCGGATATGGCAGATCTGCTGAAGTGGTAACATGTTACATACACATGTATGTAGTATTTTTTTATTGCTAGTGGGGTGGGACTAAGTCCCTTGAACTGTGACCACTTCTGGCCTATCGTACCAACCCCAGATGATTGATGGTGATTTTGGAACAATTGGTGGAATGAAGATTGGCAGGGGAACCAAAGTACTCAGAGAAAACCTGCCCCAGTGCCACTTTGTCCACCACAAATCCCACTTGACCAGACCTGGGATCGAACCCAGGCCGCCGCGGTGGGAAGCCAGCAACTAACCGTTTGAGCTATGGCGCGGCCCCATGTATGAAGTAAGTCCCCAAGTTAAGTAGTTTTGTATGCCTCTTGGTTTATTGAACAAAGTTTCATGATTATAGTCTTTGGAGTGTCAAATGACCAAATGCATTCCTTCCCTGTCTTGCTGATGTCAAGAAGCTTCTTGGGAAGAAAGGAGAATTATGGTTGCTGGTGCTAGTAGATAAGATTTTTTCACCTACAGTTACTAAGGTGTCTTGCAAGCAGGGAAAAGTTGGAGTAGTTGGGCTCTGCTCAGTAATGATAGAGGTGAGTTCTGCTTACAGTGTTGACCCATTGTTTGCTCATGTGCCCAACAATTGATCTGTAAGTGACAGCCAGCCGATAAGCCTTAGGTATGCCCTTGAGTCTAATAAATTCATCCAACTGTTGAAGATGAAATACCAGGTTGGTGTCTGAGTTGTCATAAAATAATGACAATGGCAGTTCTGGACTACTCAGAAAACTAGACACTGACAAAGGTTCTACTGGCTCATTCATTCTATTTGCATTTAAGCTCACTCTCACACAAACATTGCAGGCACTTGACTGACAAGAACAGTGATGGTTCTCATTAGTCGGAACATGGCTACTGGTAGTACCATCATTGTCACTATTAGGGTCATTCTGATTCATGATGGAAGGAGAGAGAAGGGTGTTACTTATCACATGCAATTCCACTGCAACTGCTGCTCTGCTCGGTACATCAGAAGTTTTACTTTCCAGTGCCACAATTTTGGCATTCACCTGTTCCGATCTACTTTCAGTTGCAGATTTTCCTTACTTTACCACCTGGTTAATTTGATTGATGCTCTGCCTCTATGGCTCACATCCTGATCTCATTTACAGATGGTAACATCCACTTTGGGCCTGTGATCTGCCATCCGGCTGGCCAGTTTGTCTGTGATACCATGGGTATGAGTCTTTGTTCTAGTTTAGTCTCAAACCACATGCTGACTACCTGTAGCTGCCTTTTCACTGCCACAAGTTCAGATTCTGTTTCTGTACTTGATCTACCTGATTAGTTAATCTCCTAGTCTCAGAATCTAGCCTGGCCGAGAATTCTTCGTTAATTTGCTGGCTCTGTAGCTCAAATCTTTCGGTCAGTTTTTCATTTTTTACTTTTATCTCGGCCCTTAAGTTTTGCTGAAATTTTGCATTGTTTTCCTGTAATTGACTGATTTTGGAATTAATGTGAGCCTTAACACTTTCTTGGAAGTGATGGATTATCTCAATGTTGGTGCTAAGGTCTGCCTTTAACACATTCTTGTAAATTTATATTGCTCTGCTTTATTACTTCCATAATTCCTGCAAGTATCAGTTTTATGTCACTTGTGTCTTTGGATGGGTGTTCTTCTGTGCTTCCTTTTTCCAATTTATAATTGTCCAGCTGGTAGCTCTCTGGAATCTGTTTCTAAAATAATCTCCTGCTGTGAAGTTACAGTCAGTTCACACTGTTCATCTACACTGCCTAATCCCTCAGGTTGGTCCCTTGGCCTACTGCACTTCTTCGCTGCCAGTAGTTCAGTGTTCTCTTGGTTGTGCTCTACCGCCCAGCTTCGAAGTGTGCGACTCATCATGGTCACGCTTGGACACTAACCTTTGTGATAGCAGTAGTTGTCTTCTGCAGCATGATCTGGAGCCAACAAACTTGTAGATTCAAGCTCCTTCCGTTTTGACTCCTCAATATGTTGTGGGATGAGCCACCACATGACATCTAACGTGTAGCATTGCTCATTGGTGTGTTTTCAGTCGTGGTGTTATGTAGGGTTGTAGCTGACTCTTCTTCTCCATCTCTTGCCTTCGCTGAGAGGTCGAAGCCCTGCGTTGATGTGCCACTTGTAACCGTCTTCCCCATAGGTGAATTTATGCCACACACATTGGGAAACACTTTTAACTCTCTTTGGGCCCTTTCATTGTTTGGTTACTTCTATGATGGCCCTTTCTTTCCCTTTGTTGCTCACCTTCGCTGTGTTCTTGGATGCCTTCACTGAAGTTACAGTGCATTCCTTCCCTGTCTTGTGGATGTTGGGAAGGAAGGAGATTTGTAGCTCCTGGTGCTAGTAGGTAAGGGTTCTTTTCACCTACAGTTACTAATGTGTCGTGCGAAGTGGCCTCTGTAGTCTAGGGGCAACGTTCCCACCTCATGACTCAAGGTACGCAGGTTCAAACCCGGCAGAGGCCGTGGAATTTTTAAGGGTGGAAAAATTCAGGGAACAAGTCCTCCGGGAGGGACTTTAAGCCGTGTGTCCCATGTCATAGATTTACAGCACGTAAAAGAACCTCATGTCTCTAGGAGACCTCTGAGCTAAATTAGGCAAATTTTCCCACCCAAGTAGTTTCCAATGCCTCCGGTAGATGGGGAAAGTATTAGGTACCACTGCCAGATGAGGATTAACCTCGCTGACAGAAAGGGACTAATTATCAGATACCACTGCCAGTAGAGGGCCGACCTCGCTGGCAGAAAGGGGCTGATAACAGGCACCAGTACCGGTAGGGTATGGGGATAGTAGAAATTAAAGGGGGATGCACAGTGGACCAATAACTGGTCTAAGTGCATGGGGAAACCCACCTCCTCCAACAATGAATGAATGAATGAATGAATGAATGAATGAATGAATGTGTCATGCAAGTGGGGGAGAGTTGGAGTAGCTAGGCTCTGCTCAGTAATTGTAGTGATGAGATCTTATCTAGGGTCATATGGGCCTGGCTCAGGCAGGGCATGAGGTTCTTTACGTTACAGTCATGTACACCACTTCAAGACTGCACTTTAATTTATTATCTTTTGATAACACTGAACACTATACTTAATGGAAACTAAATTTTTCTTACACTTGCATGAATTTGAATGTTGTATGGCTTATAACCCAGTAAATTGTACTTTATTGAAGTGATATAGTTTTTGAGTCTGAATTGGAGGAAATTTGAATTAAGACTTCTGAGGGAGAATGAGCTCCCTGGAATCCTGAGGTCTGCCAGTCCACAGCATTCAAATAAGTCTACTCCTCCAAACACAGTTCATTTTGAAAACTAGGAGGACTCTTAATTTGGTGACTTACGAATCATATTGTTTTGTGATTCTGGCAGTTACTGACCGAACGCTAGAGTTGACCGCGACTTTGTATATTAGGATCATGGGATTGGGCTCAGGTACTTTCTCTTCTAAGTTATCGCTGTTCCAAGCTATCACCTCTTGAATTCTTAAAGGCCTACCGATTCTGCTGAAACTACCAGAATTCCAGGAAATGTACCAGATGTTACTTCCTGTCCTCTTAGCAAAACTGGAACCATATCACTTCTGAGTGTTTCTTAATTAATATGAAATAGGCTAGTTAATTATAATGAATGGTTACAAATAGTTCCCTTTTCTTCAGTCACTCAGGCTGTATGATGGGATCATATGTTAAAATAAATCATTAACTCTTCTCCATAATCATCCTTCCATATCCCATACATTTTAGTAAACCAAAATAATGATTGCAGTGTCATAAAATGGTTACCATGTTGAGTTCTTTATGTTATGTTTTTCAGCTACCAAGGCAAAGCCTCGTATGGCTCCACTGATGCAGAAGACTATGAAACTTGTTAAGAGCTTCAAGCGATAATCTTTCTTGGAGCTGCAATGAATTATGCTGAGATTGGAAAGTACTTCAGAATGAGAGGAAGGACACAAGTATGTAATAATAGCAAGCTTGTGCCGTATCACTCTCTGCAGATGTGTTTCCCACACAGGATGTTTGCTTTCATTTTATACCTAGTATGTTTGTTGAGGATATGTGTACTGATGTGTACCGTGATTGAAGTGCATGTTCTTGTATATGCTGTATGAGAACCAAGTAATTATTTGTCATTTTAACAGACTGACCATAACAGTATCAGAAACCATCAGAATGGTATGTCTCTGTTTCCAAACTTCTGATTGGTACAGCAAATTAAATATAAATTGAAGTGTTGATGCAACAGGTATGTAGCCTCATTTTCATGAATTTGTGTTTGGACTGCATTCAGAGATGATGTAAATGGTGCCAAAACAGTGCATATTGCTTGCTGAGTCAAATGGTAATATGAATGACATTTTTTGAAGATTCAGAGGTGCATCCTTCTTGTGTGAGAGCCGTGTTGTCATGCTGTTGTGCTTAAAACCATTTTATTGTTATCACAAATATAATTTGTTTTTGTGAATATTATTAAATATCATACGTTTATGGAATAAGACAGTCTCCATTTTGTTTTTTGTCGTACCTATGAAACACTGCAGAGGTAGAATTGTGTACCATGAGTCATATATGGTGAAGTGTGCAAGAAAGACTTTGAACAAGGAAACCTGAATGCTTAGAACTGATACAAAGTAAGTTACAAATTTAATTAGCAGCAGAATGCATTATGTTTCCAGTTTGAAGAACCATCATATGTAATAAATCCTTTTTGTACAAGGGGTTTTTATCATGTGCATGGGAAAATTCATTAATTTAAAATGCAGGCAGCGAGCAGTCTTTGAATTATCTGGCTTCAGTTGGAGATATCACCTTTTGTGAAAAGTACTTCATGCTCAAGATGCTGAGAATAATTGGGAGTAGAAACAGATGAGTAATATAGTTGAATGACAGATTTCATCTTGTGTAAATGTTGCTATTGCCACTACCAGCATGCTAACTGCACTTGCTGTCATCTCAAGGTCCCTTGCTTTCATGGTTAAAATTATTGGTTTCTGCAATGCCATCATTCGCTTCCAAGATTTGGGTTCTGCTCTTTACTTTGCCATTAGATTTTATGCAGTATATTTGACTTTCAATGCATAAAGCACAGACATTCCTTGTTTTTTCAACAATACCCTTAGTTGTAAGTTTTGAGGTTTTCACGGCGATGACAATGAAGAAAGTTGTCTTCTGGGTTTAGGCACCGTGTATTCTTCGTTTTGGCCGACGTTTCGGAGGAACGTAGCGCCTCCATCTTCAGAGCAGTTGAATAGCTGCGGAGAGCAGTAACTGCTCTCCGCAGCTATTCAACTGCTCTGAAGATGGAGGCGCTACGTTCCTCCGAAACGTCGGCCAAAACGAAGAATACACGGTGCCTAAACCCAGAAGACAACTTTCTTCAATACCCTTAGTTCTTTGTTCCAGATAACTTGTGACTAGTCCCTCGTCACTTCATTAGACATCTGCCTATTTGTTTAGTACCTTATTCTTAGTCCTGTAGGCAATAATGATGTAAGCCGTTTTTTATTCAATATCACGTATACTGATAGTTTCATGCTGACTATCAATTGTGTCAGTCTCTGATGTTTTGTGACACAGATTTTGGACCTCTGTCATCATTGATGTAATTGGATGACATAGCGAAATACATTTCATTGGCATTGTCTGTTTGGCTTAGTGGGTAATTATATGCTATTCAAGTTTGGATCACATTTCTGAAATGTGAGAAGTTTATTCTCAGAGACTGATGGTAATGTAAGTGATAAAATATAGAGTAAATTACAGTGGCTTCTCTTAAACTGTTAAAAAGGTTAAACTGAGTAGATGAAGTATAATGTGGGGCTTGTTAAGTGTGATGTAGGAAGGGTGTATATGTACAGTTTAGTGACGAGGAATGTGGAATCTTTTGATAGCTTAATATTTTATATTATTCATGGATCTAGTCTCTTCTGGAAGTTTGCTGTAGTAGTGTATGATGTTATGTAAGTTGTGGTTTATTGTTAGTTATATACTTACATATAATAGGTTGTGTTGGGGTATGGAAGGTTTACTATGCCGTGTTGGTGAAGAATCTTGCACTTTGTGGATGTGACATAATATGCAAGTACGTAGTTGTTTGCATGATATCCGGTGGAAATAATGTAATTTAATGTCCAAGTTGTTTAGTTTATTAATGTTAAATTGTAAAGTTTTTTATTGTATTATGATGTGGTGTGCTGGTAATTATCTATTATTATTATTATTATTATTATTGGAGGGGGTGGGTTTCCCCATGACCAGTGGTCTATTGTACGTCCCCCTGTGATATTCTACCAGTCTATACCTTACCGATACTGGTGCGTGCCATCAGTCCTGACTCAGCCAGCAAGTTCAGTCTCTACTGGCTCAGCGGTATCTAGATGCTTCCCCCATCTACCAGAGGCATTAGAGACTATTGTTGGGCGGGAAATGTCCTTATAATTTGGCTCAGAGGCCTCCTTGAGGCATGAGGTTCTTTTATGTGCCGTAAAGCTACGACACGGGACCCACGGCTTGAGGTGCCTCCCGGAGGAATTGTTCCCTGAATTTTTCTGCCCTTAAAAATTCCACGACCTCCGCCGGGTTTGAACCCATGTACCTTGAGTCATGAGGTGGGAACGTTACTCCTAGACTACGGAGGCCGCTTGGTAATTATCTAAATACATGTACTTTATCTGCTTGTGTACATCCTGGATATGTGGCGGAATTCAAGTTTTGTCATACCTCAACAATGAACATCCACCAGAAAAAAGTGGGTCACCTTTACATATTTTAGAAAACAAACTGTAGTTATTGCATAAGTGTTCAAAAGCTGAAACATATGACTATCATTCAGACATGCCAATACGAGATATCACTTAAAACCACACAGACCAGCAACTGATATCTTTAGCAGAAGTGGAATCTATCAATTAAGGTGCACTGACTGCCCATTGAAATATATGAGGCAGACAGGAGGAGCATTTAATACATGATTCAGAGAACACGAACAGGTGGTAAAATCTCCAAGTACCCTCAACATACAGAATGGCCTGAAAGTCAGATATCTAAAATATTTTCTTGTATTGATGGGACTATTTAGATTTAAACCTTCCAGTCAATTTGTGGAATGTTACCACAGTGTTGTGGGTTGTGTCTATATATAATCCTAACGTACAAAAGCGACAGATGAGTGATATGTTTGTAATTATACCAAAACCTTACCACTACCCCATCATTATCTGCTCATCTTGCATTCAAACTCCCAGACCCCTCATGTCACACAAACACTAGATAGTCCTAGTACACATACCTTAATTACCTCCCAGCTGCATCCTGGATACACCACAGCAGACAATAATGTAGGGTTACATAATAATAATAATAAAAAAAAGCTATACCTGTAACAGGCCATGGAGGCCCATAGGGTTGTGAGAAGTTGAGGATCCCACATTATCTAGACAGTCAGCTGAAAGATGGCGGTAAGGTTGTCAGCCTTACGCGCCAGCTGCTCTCTACTCCCCAGGAAAATTGTTTAATTAATTTCTGGTACTCATTTATGTTAGAGGCTGAGTCGACCCTAGGGTCATAGTGTGGCTGGAAGGATTAGGTCATCATTCATCAGTAATCTGTCAAGACGACAGGTCCTCAGTCTCTTCCAAAACAGTTCCTCCGCTTAATGCGATCTTGAGCTTTCTCCTTCAAATGAGAATATCCTCTTCTGTCCCCAAGGTCATCCAGCATCTTCTTACGTCTTCTTCCTCGTCTTCTGGTCACTTCTATCTTTCCTTCAATACTTCTTTTAGAAGGCAGTTACTGCGCAAGATATGACCAATCCAATAAGCCTTCTGTTTTCTTATTTTGTGTAGGATATTCCTCTGCTCACTGACTCTAAATAACACTTCTTCATTTCTCACATAATCGGTCCAACTGATCTTCTCCATCCTTCTCCAACACCACATTTTGAAGCTTTCCAGGTGTTTCTGATCTACTGCCCNTTCAGCCCCATACAAAGCCATGCTCCAAATGTAGCATTTCACTAGTTTCTTTCTCAGATTTAAGTCCAATTTGCTGGTAAAAAGATTCTTCTTCTTGCTAAATGCACCTTTTGCCATGGCAATCCCAGATTTAATTTCAAAATTAGGTAAATTGAAAAAAATCCAGTGACCTCATCGGGATTCGATCCCGTGACCTTCCAGCTTGTAGCATAGTGCCTCAACCAACTATGCTACCGCATGCCCCCGGTTAAGTTTCTTATGGTGATGTGGTGCATTAGTAATTACGTAAATAAATGTATGACATCTTACTTGTATTCTGGATATGTAGTGGAGTGAATGTTGTTGCAGTTGTTTGGTGTGGAGGTTTGCCATAGGTATGGAATACTACGTAGTAGAATTCTAAATGATCGTTGTTGGATCGACAAAGTTGCTGTTATTAAATGTAATAATATAAACTGTATTCTTTTTATTTTACTTTATGTATGTATTATGTAACCAATACATAAAGTAAAATAAAAAGAATACAGTTTGCATTATTACATTTAATTACAGCAACTTTATCGATCCAACAACGATCATTTAGAATTCTACTACGTAGTATTCCATACCTATGGCAAACCTCCACACCAAACAACTGCAACAACATTCACTCCACTACATATCCAGAATACAAGTAAGATGTCATACATTTATATACATGATTACTAATGCCCCACATCACCAAAAGAAACTTCACAATTTAACATCAATAAACTAATCAGCATATTATGGTACTTCCTCCAGACACCATGCCAGTTTACCACCATTTGCCTACTGTGTTGCGTCCATGATGTACAAGATTCTTCACCAGCATAGCACAATACACCTTTCATACCCCAGCAGAATCTGTTATATGTAAGTATGTAACTAACAATAAACCACAACTTACGTAATTATAACAGAACACTTTATAATAAAATATTTAGTTTAAAAATACACCAGTTCACTGAATTTCCAGAAGAGACTACATTCATCAAGATATTAAACTATCAATAGATGCTGCATTCCTCTTGTAACTAATTGCCATATACACCCTTCCTATGTCACATTTAACAAGCCCCAAAGTACACATCATCTGCTCTGTTTAAAATTTTAAAAATTTAAGGATACCCACTATGATTTATATGTTATATAATATCACTTAATGCAAGAATGTATTATGACATTTTCATTTTAAAATAGATCTTTTTAGCTTTTAAATTCAATGATAAGTTTTTTATTTATCTATTTACAAACCATCCGATGATGGTCCTTGTGACCTAAACATTTAGTGGTTGAAAGAGACAGTAAAACAGTAAACCACTGATGTGTGATAGCTTTTAATCAGTTTCATTAAAACTTAATTTACTTTGTAAGATTTGAGGTTTTTACGATGGTGACTATGAAGAAAGCAGTCTTCTGGGATGTGGCACCATGTAGATGTGGTGTTAACCGACGTTTCGGAGGAACGTATCGCCTCCATTTTCAAGGTAGAAGGAAAA